TAACTGGTCTGTCTGTCTGGCCGACCAATATATCATCATCGGCCATGTTCACACCTTTACGCACCAACTGCCAATTTCCAGCGGATAACGGAGAAAAGCCGTTCATTTAATGCACTTGACGTTATTTATTAATTTTTTACTTCAGTAACAAGATAAGGATTGGGTAGGAATGCATGCAGGGTACAAACGAATACACGTTCGCATACACTTACATACAAAACGATACTAATTTAAATATGAAAGGAATATACAACAAGTGAAAAAGCGTTAAGTTCGGCCGGGCCGAACTTTGGATACCCTCCACCATAGTTATACTGACAGATACATGGAATGAAAATATAGGGAACATACCAAAAAGTGGTCATATACCGATAATTCTACAAACCGATTTATGTAAACCATTATGTACACCAAATACAAACTTCAGCAATTTTTAATGAGGATTTTTCCTAAAATCTGTAAGATCCAAAAAGTGGACTGATACTGATAACGCATGGCAGAGTATAAAATCCTCAAACTTCTGTAATTTAGATTACAAAATTATATGAGACTATGATTAAAGGGGGACCAATATTGATTACATAGTGTAGGAAATAGTGAATATTTAGGTATATCACTATATGAGGACAATGCCTAATTAATGACCGGTATATGAACCCAATATTTTAATTGTTTATCTCAATTCTTTCGTTCAGGAGGTATCTCTATATTGAGTAGATGCCTAAATGTTATATGGGGACTACCCCTAAAAAGCGGTGAATATTAATAATTTTTGGTTGGGAGATTTGTTACCATATACGACTACAAAATATAAAATTTTAACGAATTCGGTTGAAAAACGCGCTCAAGAACCTAAAAATTTCGAAAATTGGGGGTACCTTTATATGGGAGCTACCAGAAAAAAATTGACCTATATTTATAATTTTTAGTAGAGAGATTTGCTACCCAATATGAACTCAAAGTACTAAATTACAGCTAATTCGGCGGAAAAATACGATCAAAACCTCCAAAATACTGAAAACTAGGAGGTACCGCTATATGGGGGCTACCAGAAAAAGTGGACTTATATTTATAATTTTTTGTGGAGATATCTAGTACCCAAAAGGAACTTAATATAGCAAATTTCAGCGAATTCGGTTGAAAAACGCGCTCAGGAACCCCAAAATACACAAAATTTGGGGGTACCCCTATATGGGAGCTATGCCTAAACGTGGACCGATAAAGCCCATCATCGAACTTGACCTGACTGCAGACAAAAGACGACTCTGTGCAAAATTTTGGCGATCTATCTCAATTCGTTTAGACGCTAGAGTGATTACAACAGACAGACGGAGAGACGGACATGCTTAGATCGTCATAGAATTTTATGCTGATCAATGATTATTTCGATGCGTTACAAACGGAAAACAAAACTAATATACACTCCATACTATGGTGGAGGGTATAAAAAGGGGGTTATATGGGGACTACCCCAAAAAGAGGGCGAATATTAAAATTTTTTGGTAGGGAGATTTGATACCATATACGACTACAAAATACCAAATTGCAGCAAATTCGATTGAAAAACGCGCTCAAGAACCCCAAAATACCGAAAATTGGGGGTACCCTTATATGGGGGCTATCCGAAAAAATGGACCTATACTCATAGTTTTTTGTGGAGAGATTTGCTACGCAATAAGAACTCAAAGTACTACATTACAGCCAATTCGGTGAAAAAATGCGGTCAAAACCCCCACCCCCAAACTGAAAATTGGTGGTACCGTTATATTTGGGGCTAACAGAAAAAGTGGCCCTAAAGTTATAATTTTTAGTTGAGAGATTTGGTATCCAAAAAGAGCCCATTTTACCAAATTTCACCGAATTAGGTTGAAAAACGCGCTCAAGAACCTTAAAATACCGAAAATGTGGGGGTACCCTTATATGGGAGGTATGCCTAAACGTGGACCCATATAGCCCATCTTCGAACTTGCCTGCAGACAAAAGACGACTCTATGCAAAATTGTGGCGTTCTATCTCAATTCGTTTAGACGCTAGAGTGATTACAACAGACATACGGACATGCTTAGGTCGTCATAGAATTTTATGCTGATCAAGAATATATATACTTTATAGGGTCGGAAATGATTATTTCGATGCGTTACAAACGGAAAAACAAAACTAATATACCCTCCATACTATGGTGGAGGGTATAAAAAAGCAAAAAATAAATGGCATTGCATTTCTTTATATTGATTTTTAAATTATTCGCCAATAAATGGAAACATCATTGAAAACAGAAAATATGAATGACTCAAGTAATAGCAAAAGAGAGTTAAAGTCAAAGGATAATCATCACACACATTCACTCAATATTGTTTTGTTGACTCTTTTGGCATACACGAAGTTGAAACATCAGCAACAGTTGCCGCTGCCTGACGACTTTGAGTACGGATAAATTTGTGGCCGTAACAACTGTCGTCCTGGCTTGTATGATGTCCGCCTTGTCTTTGCCGTAAAATCTTAATGCCATAACACATGAGTGTAATTAATATGATTTATCAGTGCATTTCATTCATATCTTCTTTTTGTGCTTTTCAGTTATTTTTCCTTTTTCTCTGCTTTCTTCAGTGTCGTTCCGCTAGGCATGAATATTAATTGATATCGCTGACCATGTTTCTATGTTTTTTGACACGTTTTTTTCCTTAACAGGAATTTGCATTTTTGTGCAAGAATTGCTTTCGGACCAATACAGAACTCCACACTTTTCGACACCCAGAATTGTATGCGTATCCTTTTTACGGCAACGTTAAGATAACAATTCATGAGTATATCCCCAAAGTAAACATAATGTAGATGTTGTAGCATAAAAGTCATACTCAAGCATATGTAATGAGTGTATATTGGGATGTCCAAAATTAATTTGAATAATGTTGGCTAATTGAATAATATACTAGTATGGGCACTATGACATAATTTGAATATAGCTAAAGCCGAGGTTTATAATTCGGAATTATTATAGCACGTAAAGTTAATTTGGTCCTGGTTTTCATACGACAAAATACCTATTAGCAGAATATTTTCTATGCAGGTTTTTGACTTCTCATTGTTCCCATTTAAAGTTACGACCAATTTAATATATGAGTCGTTATTTTGGAAGTGGTTTTCGGTTCTTATAAAAATTATGATTTTTTAGAAAAATTTACAATACTTATTACGTTATATATTCTGCAATGTTTAAGTCTACAAAGCCACACACAAAATTAATGCCACTTAACATTTTTAAAACAAATGAAACCCAAATATAAGAAAAATGGATTTAAACCAATTTCAATATACAAGACTCGTATATCAGTGAAATATTCGAATTGACTTAACGTCATTTTTATACCCTTCAAGCACACTGTGGTACAGTGTATTATGTATTTGTGCATATGTTTGTAACAGGCACAAGGAAACGAGATAGACACATGGTTCCTTTTGAAAATATGCCTAGAATCACTTTTTAAGTCGATTTATGCATGTCCGTCTGTCTGTCTGCCTGTCGGTCCATGTTAAATTGTAAACAAAGTACAGGTCGCATATTGGATGAAATTTGGCATAGGTCACTTATTTGACACAAGGACGAAACCTTTTGAAATTGGGAAAAAGCGGTTCAGATTTAGGTATATTTTCCTCCGATTTAATGTAAATGGTCCCTACATATATTTCGATTTGCACGAATTTGGCACGGCGTACTGAATCAGGTCTAGAATGATGTGTGTTAAGTTTCCTGAAAATCGGTCTAGACTTAGATATAGCTCCCATATATATTTACGTCCGATTTAAGGTAAATGGTGTACCAAAGTTCCTATATACCATTCGATTTGCACGAAATTTGGCATAGCGTAATAGATTAGGTCTAGAATGATGTGTGTTAAGTTTCCTGAAAATCGGTTCAGATTTAGATATAGCTCCTATATATATTTTCGTCCGATTTAATGTAAATGGTGTACCAAAGTCCATATATATCTTTAGATTTGCACGAAATTTGGCACAGCATACTGAATTGAGTCTAGAATGATGTGTGTAAAGTCTCTTAAAACGGTCTAGATTTAGATGTAGCTCCCATATATATTTTCGTCTGATTTAATGTATATATCATTCGATTTCCACAACATGTAGCATAGCGTAAGGAATTAGGTATAGAATGATGTGTGCTATGTTTCCTGAAATTCGGTCCAGATTTAGATATAGCTCCCGTATATATTTTCGGCCGATTTAATGTAAATGGTGTACCAAGATCCCTATATATCTTTCGATTTGTACGAAATTTGGCACTGCGTAATTAATTAGGTATAGAATGATGTGTTTTAAGTTTCATGAAAATCGGTCTAGATTTATATATAGCTCCCATACATATTTTCGTCCGATTTAATATAAATGGTGTACCAAAGTCCCTATATATATTTCGATTTAAATTGATTTTCATAATTTTGTTCCACTGAAAGAAGCAACTTTATATCTGACCAAATTAAAAAATTAGTATGGATTGCAGAATGACATGTTTATGGATCTAATTTCATGTTAATGGTGCTTCAAAAATGCGACGCCTTTTAGGATTAATCTGTTGAATATACCCAAAGTTGTGAAGGGTATCATATAGTCGGCCCCGTCCGACTTTACTACTTTCCTTGCCAAATTATGGCCTTGAAATATTAGGAATAGAAAAAAGGGAATAGGCAAATTAGAGTAATAACAAAGTAGAGATGTCAGTTCGTGACAAGTTAGGGAAGAAAATAGGGATGCCATATTAGAATGGCATTATGAGGGGAAAATAATAAATATAAAAAAATAATAAATATAAAGAAATAATAAATTAATTAAGAACAAATTGTAAATAAAATAAATAATAAGTAAATAAATAAAGGTTTGTTCTCCAACATTCCCCCGCACAAAGAACAACTGTTCTTGACATAAGTTGGGGCAGATTCATGAGGTGTTTTATTTGGTTTTCGAGCTAACCACGCTGTGCCTCGACTCACAGCAACTCTCTTCTCGATCATTTGTAGAATTGAAATCTTCTTGTAGGGGCAGAAGTGCAACTTTTGAGACAGGACGTTTATAGATTTTACCACTGCATTTTAGGGAAACAACTCTAACTTTTCCATCAGTACCAGGATGGACTTCTGTTATACGGGCTAGTGGCCATTGACCTGGGGGAACTCGTTCGTCAAATATGATGACCAAATCGCCAACTTCAACGTTCTTTTGAGGCTTGAGCCATTTTGGACGGGATTGCAACCGGTTTATATATTCCGTCTTCCAGCGATTCCAAAACTGTTGACTTAGCAACTGAACCACTTTCCAGCGAGAAAGTCTATCTACATTGTGGTCTAGTAGATTTTCATCTGGGACAGATAAAATTGGTTCTCCAACGAGGAAGTGAGACGGAGTTAGGGCTTCACAATCTGCTGGGTCAGTTGAAATGGGGCAAAGCGGCCTGGAATTAAGACATCCTTCAATTTGAGCCAAGAGAGTAGACAATTCTTCGTAGGTCAAGATTCGACTATCCATAATGCGTTTCAAATGGTGTTTTGTGGATTTCACACCAGCTTCCCAGAGACCTCCAAAGTTTGGCGAAGCGGGTGGTATAAAGTGCCAGTTTGTACCATTGTTAGCGAGAAGGTTTGCTAGATCTTCCGGTAGGGATTCAATACTTCTTCTTTGTAGAACTTTGAGTTCTTTATTAGAGCCAACAAAGTTTGTGCCGCAGTCAGAATAGAGGTCAGAGCACATGCCTCGCCGTGAGGTAAATCGTCTAAATGCGGCAATGAAAGCGTCAGTAGAAAGACTGGTGACAGCTTCAAGGTGCAGCGCTTTGGTGACCATACAGACAAAGAGGCAGATGTATCCTTTTGTCTTTACCGAATTTCTAGCAGTCGATTGCTTTATGGTTATGGGGCCAGCGTAGTCAACACCACTGTGCTTAAACGGTCGAGTAGGTTGAACTCGAACCGATGGCAGGTTTCCCATTATTTGCTGAGATGACTTGGCCTTGTACTTGAAACAAGTAATACAGCTGCGTAGCACTTTTTTAGCCAGGTTGCGGGCAGAAAGTATCCAAAACCTTCGAGTAACATACGCCTGCATCTGAATAAGGCCGCCATGTAGAGTCTTCAGATGGGCATCTGTAAAGATTAAAAGAGACAATGGGTTTTGTTTCGACAAAATAATAGGATGTTTAAATTCATAATGAAACTTAGCCTTTTGTAGACGTCCTCCAACACGAAGTAGACCATCTTCGTCGAGAAATGGGCAAAGTTGAGCAATTCTGCTACTGGAATGAACGCCTTTTTCCTTTCGTAGCTGTTGAATTTCGAGTCCAAAATCCACATCTTGAGACAGAGTAATTAATTTCTGCAGCGATTTCTTCAGTTCGGAAGATCTGAGATAGCCAGACAATCGTTCCTTCGAGTCTTTCTTATATTGGAGAAAACGCAGGATATAAGCAGTGATCCGAATTAGTTTTGTAAGAGACGAATATGCTGTGAGCAGTTCTGGATATTCCGAGACAGTAGACGAGTTTATTTTTAATGCAGACTTTCGCATTTCGAGACTGGTTTCGTATGAGTTCTCTGGTTGTTTGGGCCAACTAGATGGAGCTTGAGAGAGCCATAGTGGACCTGTCCACCAAAGAGGATGAGCAACTAAGTCAACAGATGATATACCACGGGAAGCACAGTCAGCAGGGTTATCGTTTGTAGAGACATAGCGCCATTGAGAAATATTAGAGTACCGTTGGACTTCGCTCACTCGATTTCCAACAAATACGCTCCATTTTGAAGATTCTCGTCTGAGCCAACATAAAACAGTTATACTATCTGTCCAATAAAATGTGTTTTCAATGTTTAGCTCCAGCATATTTTGAACTTTATGGACAAGTTTAGCTAGAAGTGTTGCTCCACATAATTCCAATTTGGGGACAGATAAAACCTTTAGTGGGGCAACTTTGGTTTTTGACTGTAGTAAGTTAACTACACCTTCTCCGTTCTCCTTTAAAACCTTGATATAAACAGCAGCAGCGAAAGCTGAAGTAGATGCGTCGCAAAATCCGTGCAGTTCAATGAGGGATTGTTTGTAACTACCAATCCAGCGAGGTATTGAGACTTTTTCTATAGTTTTGAGTTCTTTTAGATAAGTATGCCAGTTAATTTTCATGGTAGGAGAAACTTCATCTTTCCAATCGATGCCTTCGAGCCATAATTTTTGGAAATAGATTTTGGCCTGAATCGTAACAGGCGCCAGCCAACCTAGTGGGTCATACAATTTTGCAGCATCTGATAAAAGACTTGCTTTTGTGACATTTTCTTTGATGGGGAAGTTAACTTCAAATGAGAACGTGTCATAATCAGTATTCCAGCCTAAGCCTAAAGCTTTTACCACATTTGGTTCATTTAAATCGAAAACATTTGATTTTTCACGGAAGTCTTC